ACACCCCAACCCCAGACCCCAGACCCCAGACCCCAGACCCCAGACCCTACCCTAAACCCTGACCTGACCCTAAACCCTCACCCTGACCCCGGACCCACGACCCCCGACCTCCAACCCCCAACTTATCTTCCTATTTATGTAATTTTCTATTTTCCCTTATTCTGTTTTTCTTCTAGGAATAATGTCTCTTCTGCAGGAGGGCTGAATGTCAGCCTCCACCTTTATATGGCTTGCTTCCTCAGCTGCCATTGTAACGGGGGGGGGGGAGGGGGGAGCTGTCTGAGGGGGAGAAGTGAGCTGGTGGAGTAAGGGGAGAAAGTTTTCCTTAGCCTTTCTCTGCAGCTGGGAAACGCGCTAATAACCACTCAAGGTCAACCATCGTAGGATACCAGGAGGCTGGAGCCATGGGAAGCTGCCCTTGGAGGGAGATGTGGATTCGATAATCCTGACTGGACGATTGGGGGGAGGGTTTTAAGGTTGCTTTCTATATGTGATTTTCGTGCCTATCGCCTCAGACCTTGCTTTTCTTTGGTTGCATTCAGTTCATACTCAGTAAAAGTACCTTTCTCTATAAAATGGAGTCGGGGTTTTTCTTTCTTGAGCGTTGAAAGGAAGCATACCTGACACAGGAGCTATCAGCCTCCACTTTTTCATTGCTTGCTCGGCTGCCATGAAATGGGGGGAGGGGGGAGCTATTGGAATTCTTGGGAGGGGGGAAGTGAGCTGGTGGAGGAGAGAAACTTTGCTCAGTGTTTCTTTGAAGCTGATAACAACTCAAGGTCAACTGTCGTGACATAGCAGAAGAATGACACCACCAGATGTTGCACCCACATTGACCCCTGGGGAATTGGATGATTTATGCTTGACAGTTGGGGGAAGGCTTTTGGGGATGCTCTCTATATGTAACTTTCACGCCTTTTGCTTCAGACCTTGCTTTTCTTTAGTTGCATTCAGTTCATACTCAGTAAAAGAATCTTTCTCTATGAAAATGGAGTCGGGGTTTTTCTTTCTTGAGTTTTGAAATGAGGCATGCCTGACATTAAGCAAGGTCTGCATTTACAGCCATCCTGGAAAAAACTACCGTGGGGGCTGAACAAACAATGTCTGATCAAAACAGCGACCAGGACTAGATGGGAGCTGCCGGCTCAGCAACTTCATCACCACACCCTGCCTGGGAGGCATCGGATTGGATGGCTAATTTACAGCTGGAGGAAGATCCGGAGAAAGCCAAATGGTTGCTGGGCGTGGGGAGGTTGCCAGAGAGGTGTAACAAGTACCAGACAACGAGGGGGAGAAGCTGGCTGGCTGAAGGAGCAGAAAGAAAATTTCCTGGTCGCACAGGCCCTGCAACTTTAGAGAGAGGCAGAAGAGAGCTGAAAAAGCCAGGAAAAGTATGCATACTCCACTGGGAGGGAGGATGAACGCCCCAGGGATGGAGCAGAGGCTGCTGCTTGTGGGGAAGAGAGAGACCAAGCTGGGGAAGGAATAGCTCAAGTCTCCGGAACTCAAGCGGCTGCTGTGGCAGCCCAGGGGGCCCCAGCAAGACAGGCACTGCTCCAGAGGCAAAGAAAGCCAAAAATTCCCAATATCAGAAAAATTTGGTGGAGACCCGAAGAAGTTGGGATTTTTTCTGGCCCAAGTTTGGAACCACATGCAGGACTGGGGGGAGGATTTCCTCTCAGATGCCGCATGCGTGAGGTGCATTACCAAGACCCTAGAGGGGGTAGCAGCTGAGTGGATGGTGGGACTCCACAATGAAAATTTCCACTTGCTGAAGAATTATGATCAATTCATGGCAGCCCTCAGAACGCGTTTTCAAGACCCCTTAGCCGAGTGAAGGGTGAGGATTAGAATGAAGACCATCCACCAGGGGCGGAGATTGGTAGCAGAGTACACCTAGAACTTCCGCGAGCTGGCACCCTACATGAGAGGTTCATCAGAGGTGGCCCTACTGGAGAACTATAAAGATGGGCTGAATGAGGATGTTTACAAGGATTGTTGTTCCCGAGGGGCTCCCAACGACCTGCAGAGCTGGTACATATTGGCAGCAGACATGGAGATCGACTTGGCCCGGGGTAGTCTCCGTGGTGGGCGCACCTGGGATCAGCCACCCTCCTCACTCCTAAAGGGGGTGCCAAAGGCCGCAATGGGGATGGCAGAGTCCAAACCAAAATCCTCCACGTGTTTCAAATGCAGGAAGGAAGGGCACCGAGCCGCTGAGTGTTTCTCCAAGCCGGCACCCAAGGCGACCTCTACCGGAGGAAAGAAAGCTGAGAAAATACCCACGAGAGCCGGCAAAACCACCCTGAAGGGATAAGTTGTTGAATTCGCTCCTCTGAAACAGGGTGAGTTGGGAACTCCAACCATCGCCGACGACAGCGAAACCGACTCCGACTCCGACTTCCTGGTAAGTCAGAAAGGGGGCCCCATGACCATCCCTGTCACTGCATTGTTTGCCAGCTGAGCTCCCATTCTAAGACTTACGGTAGCCCGGCCACGGAACTTATCTGTAGCTGAGATAAGGCTGGTCTGTGAGACATTGGACTACTGCGCATGTCTACATTCTTTCTTTTCTAACTTGCTGAATTTTCCTTTGTCCGTCTGTGTGATAACTGCCGGTAACGATTTGGTTAACTAGTTTTGTTTTACTTTTATAATAAAATGTTTCTTAGATATACTTCGGGTTTTCTTTGAGAGTATGCACCATGGAAAACAAGATTCATTCACTTCTAATTAATTATAGTTTCCCCAGTGGGGGGAACGAAGCCGAGTCACGCTTCGACAATGGTAACAGGGGCTGGTTTGCTTTATTTTGTTTTCCTTTCCTTATCAACTGATAAGCGAATAGGCAATTAAGCAGATAGATTTAGTCGGCGACTGAGGAACGCTAATTAATTACTGCAAATATGCCAAGAAAGAAAAAGAAAACAAAATACAGAACACTGTCTGCTGAAGACATAGATCTCTCTGATCTCTCTGATGAAGAAGCGAAAAGAATTTTACACAGGCTTTCAACTTTTCAAACACCGCTCGCTTCGGCAACCAGACTGGAGGAAGGTGTTATTGGAGGTGATGTTGGGGGAGCTGTTAAAGACGATGTACTGCTGAGGTCAGTGACGCCCCCTTCTGATTCCATATGCCCCCAAGTAATTACTAAAGAATTTACTAAAGAAGCCCTGGAATTTGAAAGGCTTCGTGCCAAACCTAAAATTACACAAGCGGCTGGGTTTTCTTTACCCACAGAGAGAGGTGAAATTCACTATTCTCCTCCTACCCCTGACGAAACTCTGCATGATAAGGCTGTGCGAAGTTATTGTGATCAAATAGAGTTTCTGGAACATGAGCTGCACAAGGCAAAAGCGTTTGTTTCTATACTTAAGCCAGATAAGAGGGACTCTCGTCTTTTTCAAATTCCTGAGCCCTCCATCTTGCCTCCTTCTCCAAAGCCAAAGCCACACCCACAAGTGGGTATTGTGTCAAGCAAATCAGAACAGAAAGCAGTGTCCATGTCACATTTAACTCGTGATGCTGGACCTTCTCTGATTACACATGACTGCAATGCCCGAAACTAATGTTGCACCACCACCTGCTAGCGAAAGTAATTTACAAAATAAAGCTGAAATGCACTCCAAGATGCAACAGCAGTTAAGCAAATTACATCAAACTATTTCAACGATGTCTCTAAATCAATCAGTTCTTCAGGCTGCAACCGAGCCTCCACAGGCTCAATCATCAGCACCCCTTGGTGGTACTGATGACATTTTTCTCCAAATTCCTAATTTAGATGGAGCACAGCAATGCTTAATGCAGCAAAGACAAGTGTCAGCGCCTCCAGCAGGCCATATTAATATTGCAGCTCAAGCTGCAATATTGGTGCAATGGCAATGGCAGCTGCAATGGCAGCTGCAATACAAGAGCCTCAGGTTCAACCACAAGTGTTTTTACCTGCACAGCCAGCACCTCAAATGCATGTTCCTCAACAGGCAACTTCTATGGTCCCACTGGCTGGTGATTCAAGATTAAAGCGTTCAGGACAAAATTATAAAGCATGTGTCAGTGAGGTTGGACTTTTGCTCCATAGAGAAGGTACCCATTGCATGGTGTTTAATCCTCCTGACCAGCCATGGACTTCTGCAACAAGAGACTTAGATACTAAAGCATGTACAACATTATTGATGTCTATGGATACTAAACTGCAGGTTATTTTTCCACCTGATGCAACTGCCCAACAAATTTGGGCTCAATTGGAAACATGCTACTGGCCTGTTTCAATTGAATCTACATGTTTGCTCTTGTCTGAATTCCATGGTTCAAGATTGAAACCTGGTGAATATATTGGAGAACATTTAACTAAAATGAAAGGAATGAGAAAGGAATTGGGCAAAAGAGGCTATAATATTGAGGATTGCCAAATGATCAGCTCATAATTCAACTCATTGAATTATGAATGGAAAGATGCCATTACAAAGATTAATAAAGTGACTATTGCTCAACGCACAGTAGATCATGCATGCAGAATTTTAATTGAAGAAGCCACGCCACATTTGAGAGGACCACTTGCATCAAGAGCTCCAGCGAGGCGTCCCTTCCGAGGAAAAGCCTACGTTCCAAGGATGCCAAGATGCTACATCTGTAATCGTGTGGGACATGCCACCTGGGATTGTCCCCAACGATTTCCAGCTCCCGTTACGTACCAGCCCAGAGGAACAGACTCCAAAGGAGGCAGAGGCAGAGGCGGAAGACAAGGTTGTCGTGGTCCCAGGCGTGATCCGCAAGCTCCACTCACCACATTGGCTTTAACCAACGATCCACAACCTCGTCCAGAATACGATAGACGACTTCTGTGGACTTTGGATAGTGGCGCAGCATTGCAGGTTACCTATAAAAAGGAACTTTTTACAGAGATGCACGAGCCTGAACCTGAGCTACGTGAACTTTATTCTTTTTCCAATCATCCTTGTCAGGTCGTAGGAAAAGGAATTGTTTATGTTGAAGAGTTCGATGCATTCATTCCTATGTTTATTATATACCAACAGCAAATAGTAGTTTGCTTAGTCAGAGTCACTTGTCCAGAGTATTAAAGTTCCAGGTTCACCACCTTGAAAAAGCAAGTTATATAGTTAAAAATGGAGATATTGTTGCTGAAACCATGTTAATTGGTGGTGTTTATTACATAAAGCCAAGGTCTAAACCAGCAAGTATACAAACTTGCAGGGTCAAGCTGAGGATTTTGTCCAGTATCTGTATGATAAAATCGCTCAGATTCGGGAAGGCTTGACCTCTGACTGGGTAAGTCTGGATGGGATGATTGAGGCAGGTCTTGAGAGTGTTATCTGGGAGGAGTTTGATCCTGTGGCTCCCGAGGATGTGGACAGGATTCTGGGACGGCTGAATGACATGTTTATTGGATCCATGTCCCTCCTGGCTGGTGCTGGCTTCCCGGGAGGTGACACAAGGCTGGCTCCAGAGGATTATTAACGCTTCTTTGAGTGAGGGTGTCCTGCCGGCCGCCTTGAAAGAAGTGGTGGTGAGGGCCCTCCTCAAGAAGCCCTCTCTGGATCCGGCTGTTTTGGCTACTTATTGTCCAGTCTCCAACCTTCGTTTTATTGTGAAGGTTGTTGAGAGTGTAGTGGCGTGGCAGCTTCCACAGTACCTGGATGAAGCTGTCTATCTAGATCCGCTCCAGTCCAGCTTCAGGCCTGGGCACAGCACGGAAACGGCATTGGTCGCGTTGGTGGATGATCTCTGGAGGGCTCGGGATAGGGGTTGTTCCTCTATCCTGGTCCTGTTAGATCTTTCAGCAGCTTTTGATACCATTGACCATGGTATCATGTTGTGCTGGTTGGAGGGGTTGGGGGTAGGGGGCACCGGTTTGCGGTGGTTCTCCTATCTCTCTGACCGGTCGCAATCTGTGTTGGCAGGGGGGCAGTGGTCGACCCCGAGGCGCCTTGTTTGTGGGGTGCCGCACGGGTGGCTCCTCTCACCCCTTCTGTTCAACATTTATGTAAAGCCACTGGGTGAGATCATCTGTGGGCTTGGGGTGGAGTTCCATCAGTATGCTGATGACACCTAGCTGTACATCTCCACCCCAACGATGCCCTTGAAATGATGTCCCGGTGCCTGGAGGCCGTGCAGGCCTGGATGGGGAGAAACAGGCTCCGACTCAACCCTTCCAAGACCGAGTGGCTGTGGCTTCCGGTGTCCCGATATAGCCAGCTGGTGCCATCGCTGGTTATTGGGGGCAAGTCATTGGCCCCCACGGAGAGGGCTTGCAACGTGGGCGTCCTCCTGGATGCACGGCTGTCTTTAGAAGAGCACATCCCTCCTGAGCATGCTCCAAGATGGCGACCCAGCCCTAGGCTCGCTGTGATAGAGATGGGGTGTTTGGCTTGTAAGGGTCTCCGGGGGTCGTTTTGACCATCTGGGACCCCCTGCCCGGCAGGCATTACTTGGAGCCGGTTGACTGAGAGTTTTTTGGGCTCTCTAAGGTGCCGATAACAGCGTGGCACCGACGCTCCGATGAACAGCTGTTCCGAGGCTGCCACGAGAAGGGCGGCGTTCGTGATCTATGGGCGGCAGCGGCGACAGCGGAGGAGGAAATAGAAACAGCCGGCTTTCGGCTATGTCTGGATGGTTGGTGCAGCGGCTACGGTGGGGAAGCTGGCGTCGTCGCGGACTGCACCCCCCCGAGTCGGAGCAGCGGAGGTAGACGTCGGGGGGAAGGAAGCGGGCGTCAAAGGAGGCGAGGGCGAATGGAAGATGTGGCTGTTGGTGCCCACGATGATGCCAGCACCTCTGCCGATGCCGTTGCAGCAGCTGTTGGGATGGCTGGAGTCGTGTAGCCGAGGAAGAACACGAGGGGGGAGCCTCCATCTCTGAATTTTTAAATCTTGGCAACTTCGGGCCGCCATGGGGCTCTGGGGTAATTCCCAAATTTTAGCTCCCATGATGAGGCCTCTTTTATAGCCATTTTGGGGGGCTAGGACTGGGCATATAGGATGGTTGGAAGACCTGGAAGACTCGGGGGGGTTAATGAGGGTGGAGGGGCTGTTGGAGTTACTGCGCAGCCCTGGTTAACCCTCTTTCCCCCCCCCCCGTCCTAGCTGGGCCATTATCAGGCCCTATGACTAACATGCTTGCCCTGCTGGTTTCTGCTCGATGGAGGTGGCTCTCACCTATTTTCCATCTATCCGCTTGCCTGTACTATCCATCTATACGCTACCTGTATGAATATTGTGGACAGCTTGCTTACTTCTGGAGACTTTGGACCTGGATCTGTTTGTTATCTAGCACGCTGGCTGTATGAAAAATGGCAGCTTACGGGAGGACGAACGGAGCCGGTTTCTATCATTGTTTCACTACCGATGGGATGTACCATCTCCCCCATGGCTAGTTGGCCAACCATCGTGAGAGGCTGGTTGGACGATTACCCTCGAATTGGTTGGAACATTGGACTCCCCCACTGCCGTGAGAGGACAGTGGAGACTCTTCCGCTTATGGTCAACCTGCCTTTCTTCAGGACAATTTGGACTATCATGGAGCCCCGGGCCATACCTTATCACTACCACAGAACTTAGATGTACTTAAGGGCACAGCTTCTTGCATTGCGAGACTCCCCCCTCTCGCAAGCCTGGCCCTCCACGTTATCGAGGACCTACCTCAATGACGGGTCTTGGAACCCAGAGAAGTGGCATGCGGCGAAGAGGGGGTTGAGGGGTTTTTTATGTAAATTTCTGGATAAATTTTTAAGGGGTCCCGGGGGGAGGGAAGGTAAAATTGGAACTAGGGTTGTGGGCTTGGGGGATAACCCACCAAGGGGAAGGTCGAGCCTGGCCATTATGCGCGGCGGGGGGGGTGGGAGTTCCGGAGGAAATGGGGGGGGTCGAGCTTGTCCAGATTGTGTTTTCACCATTGGTACTGTGAGGGGGAGGGGTAGATATGGCGGGAGCAGGGGGCCATATCATGTTAAGGGAGCGCACATCCGCTGTCTTCAAGCGGTAGCGTGCTCCGGCCCCCAAGGCTCCACTCGTTCTCCAGGTTGCACAGACCCTCAGGGCCCGGGCCTTCGGCTGATGTTGTGCAACGCCAGGTCCGTAGTAAATAAAGCCCCCCTCATTTGTGATCTTGTTCAGGAGGGGGGAGCGGACCTGGCAGGTATTACGGAGACCTGGTTGGGCCTGGAGGGAGGGGTCCCTCTGGTAGAAATGTGCCCACCAGGCTTCCACGCATTCCATCAGCCGAGGTCACAGGGGAGGGGCGGGGGAGTAGCGGTTATTATTAGAGAAGGTTTTAGGCCGAGGGAGGCCACTGTTCCTCAGACGGCCGGTTGTGAGACCCTCCTTGTGAAATGGGGTCATGGGGTTCAGATGGGTTTGTTGATCACGTACCTGGCTCCCTGCCACGTGGCAGCAGCCCTGCCCGAGCTACTCAACGTTATCGCCGCGGTGGCGGTTGATACCCCCAGACTTATGGTCATGGGGGATTTCAACCTGCCGTCCGTGGGTGAGACGTCTGAGGTGGCTCGGGAGTTCATGGCTTCCATGACGGCTATGGATCTGACCCAGCTAATTCATGGCCCTAAGCACATGGGGGGAAACACACTGGACTTGATTTTTGTCTCTGGACAGTGGCTGAGTGATCTTGAGATAGGGGACATAGTCATCGAGCCCTTGTCATGGTCGGATCACTCTCTCCTTCGCCTTGACCTTCGAACCGCTGCACCCCGCCGCAGGGAGGCGGAACCGATAAGATGGTACCGCCCCAGGCGCCTGATGGAACCTGATAGGTTCCAGATGGAGCTTGGGCCAATCCCTGATTGGAGACCTAGTGGCCGCCTGGGATAGGGCGGCCGCTGGAGCTCTGGATCGAGTCGTGCCTTTGCGGCCTCTGACCCGGCGCCGTTCTCACCTGGCTCCTTGGTTTACTGAGGAGCTGAGGGAGATGAAATGCCGGAAAAGACGCCTAGAGAGTAGTTGGAGGGCCAGTCGTACTGAATCTGACCGGACATTGGTAAGATCTCATATTAAGAATTACCTAGTGGCGATAAAAGCAGCGAAATGCACTTATCTTGCTGCTCTTATTGCGTCATCAGATAACCGCCCGGCCGCCCTGTTTAGGGTGACCCGCTCCCTGCTCCACCAGGAAGCGAGGGAGGACCCCTTGGAGGGAAGAGCCGAGGATTTTGTTCAGTATCTGTATGACAAAATCACTCAGATTCGGGAAGATCTGGACTCCGACTGGGTAGATCCAGCGGGGATGACGGAGGCAGGTCCTGAGAATGTTATCTGGGATGAGTTTGATTCTGTGATCCCTGAGGACGTGGACAGGATTCTGGGTAGACTGAATGCGACCACATGTTTGTTGGACCCGTGGCCCTCCTGGTTAGTGCTGGATTCCCGGGAGGTGACGCGAGGCTGGCTCCAGGGGATTATAAATGCTTCATTGGGCGAGGGTGTCTTTCCCGCCGCCTTGAAAGAGGCGGTGGTGAGACCTCTCCTCAAGAAGCCTTCCCTGGACCCGGCAATATTGGCTAATTATCGTCCAGTCTCCAACCTTCGCTTTGTGGCGAAGGTTGTTGAGAGTGTGGTGGCACGACAGTTTCCCCAGTACCTGGATGAAACGACGTATCTAGATCCATTCCAGTCGGGTTTCAGGCCTGGGTACAGCACGGAAACGGCATTGGTCGCGTTGGTGGATGATCTCTGGAGGGCTCGGGACAGAGGTTGTTCCTCTGTCCTGGTCCTATTAGATCTCTCAGCGGCTTTTGATACCATCGACCATGGTATCATGCTGCACCGGTTGGAAGAGTTGGGGGTGGGAGGCACCGTATTACGGTGGTTCTCCTCCTTTCTCTCCGACCGGTCGCAGTCTGTGTTGACTGGGGGGCAGAGGTCGATCCCGAGGCCCCTTATATGTGGGGTGCCACAAGGATCGGTCCTCTCGCCCCTTTTGTTCAACATTTATGTGAAGCCGCTGGGCGAGATCATCCGTGGTTTCGGGGTGGAGTACCATCAGTACGCTGACGACACCCAGCTGTACATCTCCACCCCGGACCACCCCAACGATGCCCTTGAAGTGATGTCCCGGTGCCTGGAGGCCGTACGGATCTGGATGGGGAGAAATGGGCTCAGGCTCAACCCATCCAAGACCGAGTGGCTGTGGTTTCCGACGTCCCGATATAGTCAGCTGGTGCCATCGCTGACTCTTGGGGGCGAAGCATTGGCCCCCACGGAAAGGGTTCGCAACTTGGGTGTCCTCCTGGATTCACGGCTGTCTTTAGAAGAGCACTTGACGGCCATGACCGGGAGGATTTTTCATCACGTCCGCCTGATCCGCCAGTTGCGTCCCTTTCTGGATCGGGACTCGTTACGCACGGTCACTCATGCCCTCGTCACCTCTCGTTTGGACTATTGTAACGCTCTCTACATGGGGCTCCCCTTGAGGAGCACTCGGAGGCTCCAACTGGCGCAGAGTGCAGCCGCGCGGGTGGTGATGGGAACGACGTGGCCCTCCCATGTAACGCCTCTCCTGCATGAGCTGCACTGGCTCCTGGTGGTCTTCCGGGTGCGCTTCAAGGTTTTGGTTATCACCTTCAGAGCGCTCCATGGCTTAGGACCTGGCTATTTGCGGGACCGCCTGCTACCACTAATAGCCTCCCACTGACCAGTACGCTCCCATAGAGAGGGGCTCCTCCAGGTGCCGTTGGCCAAACAATGTCGACTGGCAGCCCCCAGGGGGAGAGCCTTCTCTGTGGGGGCACCTACAATCTGGAACGAGCTCCCCCCCGAGATACGGAGGATTCCGGATCTGCGTACCTTCCGCCGCGCGCTTAAGACGTTCCTATTCCATCAAGCTGGCCTGACCTAAACTTTTCCTCTTTTTAAATGGGAATTTTAAATTTGGTTTTAAATTGGGGTTTTAAAATGGTTCAGCCAAATTTATTTGTTTTATCTCTATTTTAAATTTTGTATTTATATATTTTATTTAATGGCTGTTCACCGCCCTGAGTCCTTCGGGAGTAGGGCGGTATACAAATTTAATAAAATGAAAATGAAATGAAAATGTAACGGCCGTGGCCAGGGGGGCTTTTTATCAGGTTCGCCTGATACGCCAGTTGCGTCCCTTTCTGGATCGGGACTCCCTACGCACGGTCACTCAAGCACTCGTCACTTCCCGCCTGGACTACTGAAATGCTCTCTACATGGGGCTCCCCTTGGGGTGCACCTGGAGGCTCCAACTGGTCCAGAATGTGGCTGCGCAGGGGATTATGGGAGCATCGGGGCACTCCCATGTGACACCTCTCCTGCGCAAGCTGCACTGGTGTTGGTGACCACCTTTAAAGCGCTCCATGGCTTAGGGCCTGGGTATTTACAAGACCACCTTCTGCCACCAATTGCCTCCCACCGGCCATTATGCTCGCACAGAGAGGGCCTCCTCAGGGTGCCGTCGGCCAGACAAAGTCAGCTGGCGACCCCCAGGGGGAGAGCTTATTCTGTGGCGGCACCCGCCCTCTGGAACGACCTTCCCCCAGAGATACGCACGATACCAGACCTCCGGACTTTTCGTCGGGTCCTTAAAACTCACTTATTTCATCTAGCCATGCTGGCTTGATCCCATCCTTTGGTTTTAATTTGAAATTAATTTTAACTGGGTTGTTTTAAATTGTGGGCCGACATTATTTAATATCTTTTAAACTGTTTTAATTTTTGTATGCTGTGTTTTTACTTCGGCTGTCCGCCGCCCTGAGTCCTGCTGGAGAAGGGCGGTATAAAAATAAAAGATAAATAAATAAATAAACTCCAAAAGAGGAGAGCACAGGCCCAGAGAGAGATGTTCCAGAGAGAGATCCTGTTGCTACTCCAAAGGCCAACAAAAAGAAAATTAGGAAACAGGTTGCTCAAAGCAAACCTGAGGTTCCTCATAAAAATGTTAATGTTGAAAATTCACTAATTGGTAAACCTTTGCATTACAGGTGTATCCATAAGTGGCATAGAAGATTGGGGCATGCCAGTTTCCGTGTTCTTAGGAAAATGCAGGAGTTCGCAAAAGGTTTGGATCTAAAGCGGTGTAAGGTGTTTTTGGACTGTGCTGTCTGCAAAAAGGCCAAATCCAAAGCAGCAGCCATTCCAAAACGTGCTATACGCCTGTCAACACGCATTTTTGATTTGGTACACACTGACATAGTAGGTCCTTTTACGCCAACACTTGGTAGTAAAAAATATTTTCTAACAATTGTTGATAATTACTCTAGATATGGATATGTATATCCTATGAAAGAAAAAACTGAGACCTTTCAGATCTTTAAAGACTTTGCTGCTCTTGTTTATACTCAACACGGAGTTAGCATCACCAGAATTCAAAGTGATCGTGGTGCTGAATTCATGTCTCAGCGGTTCCAGGACTGAATGCGTAAGAACGGAATTCTTCATCAGACCTCGGCCCCTTACACACCGGCTCATAACGGGGTGGTAGAAAGGTGACAAGCGGTCCTGCAAACCATGATGCGTTGTCTCCTAGAAGTCGGCAACCTCAGTATCCCATACTGGGGTAAAACTATTAAATATGCAAATTACATTGTCAACCGTACTTGTAGTGTAATAAATCAGACTCCTTTCTTCATGTTGTATGGGTACAAGCCCGATCTCAAACACCTCCGTATTTTTGGTTCATACGCTATGGTGAACATTCCCTTAGCTCAAAGAAGGAAAGGAGGTCCAGCAGCAAAGAGATTGAGATTTATGGGTATTGATGACAATTCAAAATGGAGCAAATTTATTGACTCTAAACATGTAATAGTGATTTCCCAATCCACTAATTTTGAGGAAGATGCTGACTGGTCCAGGATTCATTCCAATGATCCTGCAGTTTATTTTCCAAGAGATGCTGCTGATGCCACAAAGTATGATGATCAAGATCTACAGGCGAATGTTCCAGCCACTAGTTCTTCTCAACCTGATGTTCCGTCTTCGCAAGCTGCCAATGGTCTGAAACAGTCTGGTTTAATGTGGTACTTATGTCTTACTGACAAACTAAATTCAATGGGCTTTATTAAGTCCGAAACTGATGAATGCGTGTTTACAAAAAGATCTGATAATATATATGAGATAGTTCTGGTTTATGTTGATATTGTTTATATTGATCCAAATAAACGGATGAGTGAGAATTTTGCTAAAGCTTTGCAGAGATATTTCACATTGAAATTTTTAGGTTATGTTAACACTTATTTAGGTGTTCAGGTTGTCAAAACTCAGAAGGGGTTTAGTCTTTCACAAGAGAATAAAATTAAGCAAATTTTGCATCATTGCAACATGAAAGATGCTAATACAGTACGTATACCCATGCAAACAGATTTTCACAACTTGGCACATGAACCAAGTCCTGAATTCGAGGATCAAACACTTTTATCGTTCAGTTATTGGGTCACTGTTGTATATTAGCATTGGACTAGACCTGACATTGCACTTCGTGTTAATCTCTTGTCCCGACACGTAGGTAAGGCAAGACAGTTTCATTGGACATGTGTTAAGAAATTATTGAAATACCTAAAACACACTAAAAATATGAGGCTATTGTTAGAACCGACACATACTGATTATGCAGAATTTTTTTTTTTTATTATTATTTATTTTATTAGATTTCTATACCGCCCTTCTCCCGAAGGACTCAGGGCGGTGAACAGCCAAAAGATAAAACATAGGAATACAAAATTTAAAATAAATTAAAACAGATTAAACAATTTGGCTCAATTTTAAAAATATCCCATAATTAAACAAATTAAAATTAATGTTTAAAATTTAAATTTTAAAATTTTAAAAGGGAGGAGATTTAGGCCAGGCCAGAATTATGTTGTTATGCAGATTCTGATTGGGCGAGTGATAAGAAATCACGTAAAAGTACCTCAGGTTATATGATGTTCTTAAATGGATGTCCTGTTTACTGGCATGTGCGAAAACAGAATTTTGTTTCTTGTTCATCTACGGAGGCTGAATATGTTTGTGTTTCAGATGCATGTAATTCTCTAACATGGTTTGATGCTTTGGTCACAGATATCTGGACACACCCGATCCGATCAATCACTGTGATGGAAGACAATGAATCTGTGGTTTATATTTCTGAATTATGTTTCACGGGTTCTAGGTCCAGACACATTGACATCAGTTATAAAAATATAAAACAATTAGTGAAACAAGGTTTTGTAAAATTGCAGTATGTGCCTAGACGTGATCAGATTGCTGATATGCTCAACAAACCAGGGTAGATAAAAATCAATGATTTTTTAAAAAAAATCAAAAAAATCGGATTTTTTTTTATTTAAATCGGATTTTTTTATTTAAATCAGAATTTTTTGATTTAAAATTTTATTTTAATAAAAAAAACTTTTGGGATAAAAATCTATCGTAAGATAGTTTTCTATTTAAGATACATAAACAATTTAGTTTATTCAGCATGAAATGGAGCTCAGTTATGTAGCACAAGGCTGTATATTCTGCAACACTGGGACTATTGGTGAGTCAACAGCAGGTCAAAGGAGTATCAGAGATGACAGTTGCTCTTTAAAAATTATGATTTAAATCAAGTTGATTTAAATCAAGTCTTTTTACTAGTGATTTAAATCGACTCGATTTAAATCAAATCCACCTTGCAACAAACCACTTCCAGCAGCTCAGCACAAGTATCTGCGTAAGATGTGCCTTACCTGATGGCTATACCTGATGTCTGCTCAACTGACAAAGAAGGGGTTGTCACTGTGTTATGTGTTTGTCAGCTGAGCATCCATTCTGAGCGTTACGGTAGCCTGCCAGAGAACCTCATCATGTATCTATAGCAACAGAGACAAGACTAGTCTTGTGAAATTTTGAGCTACTGCGCATGTCTACATTTTTTTTCTTTTCTAACTTCCTGATTTATACTTCCTTTGTTCGTCTGGGTGATAAGCTGCCGGTAAAGATGTAGTTAGCTAGTTTTTCTATTAAATAAAAATAATAAAGTCCTTATTAAAATATATATATTTCGGTTTTTCTTTCTTTAAAGTATACAGCATGGAAAACAAGATCCATCCGTCTCTAATTAAGTGCAATTACCCCAGGGGAAAACGAGGCTGATTTACGCTTTGACAGACACCACCAGGCGTTGCACCCACATGACCCCTGGGGGATTGTGGATTGGATGATTTATGCTGGACAGTTGGGGGGAAGACTTTTGGGGATGCTTTCTATATGTAACTTTCGCACCTTTTGCTTCAGACCTTGCTTTTCTTTGGTTGCATTCAGTTCATAGTCAGTAAAAGTACCTTTCTCTATGAAAGTGGAGTCGGGGGTTTTCTTTCTTGAGTTTTGAAAGGAGGCATGCCTGACAGGAGCCTTTTCTAGCACCCCATCTCAATTGAATCAATTTTGTTCCTGTCTTGCTTTTTTAAGGTCCAACTTTCACAACTATAGGTAGTTATGGTGAATACAAAAGAGCACACTAAGCTACATTCGGTTGCCAGGCTGATGTCCTTGCTTTTCCATATTTGGCTCATGTTCATCATTGCTGTATGCCCAATACAATCCGACATTTTATTTCTGAGCAGCATTCATTGCTTTGAGCTATCTGTGATCCTAGGAAAGAGAATTTTTCCACACATTCTTTCACCAGGGAGATGAAGCAGGTGAAAAAGTGCCAGAAGTGATGCTGGAGGTTGATAAACAGCAAACGTGACCTAACACTATTTAGAAGCACTACTAAGGCTTACTTTGTAACAATTTAAGGATGGCAAAGCATCAATACATCTCTGTCCTTATGGCATCTGTGGAGGACAGTCCAGCCACCCTATTCAAGGTGACTCAGCTTCTCCTGTTTAAAGAGGGCCCAGAAGTTCACCTGCAGAACCAGATGGAGGAATGTGCAGTGCATTTATCAGGCAAACTAGCTTGGATCTATCCCAGTTGGAGTCCAGCCTTGGTAAAGATCCTATGAAAGTATCTGGGACACGTGCCATGCCCTGTTACCTGGGATGACTTTGATCCCATAGGGCCAGAATCCTTCCAAGTTTGGTTACCTGCCCCATATTCCTCCTGATTGGCAAAGGCCTCCCAGGAGATGATGTGTGGCTGGATTCTCACAACGGTAAATCCTTGAGAGACAGGGTTGCCCCTTTGCCACTTGAGGTGCTGATTTATCCCCTTCTCAAGTAACTATCTCTAGACCAAACCATACTAGATCATTTCCGAACTGTATCCAACCTTCTCTTCTTAAAGAAAGATATTGAGAACGTGGTTGCAGAACAGCTCGGAAGGATCCTAAAGATGATTATCTGGATCCCTTTCAGGACGTTTCAGGCCTGGAATTGAAACAGGGCCAGTTGTGCGTGCTTTCCGATGGGAACTCTCTCCTTCTTGGTCCCTCAGTCTTCAGCACCGTCCCCACCAAGGTATCCTGTGGGGGAGGCTCTGGAAGGGGCAACGCTGCCTTCTGCTGATCCTTCTCCTGCCTCCACGTTATGCTGGTCAAGGGTCCTCGGTCCCTCTTCCGAAGGCTCCCACGCGAGTCTCTCTCCGTCCCTGCTTCACGGGAAGCCATCGCTTGCCGCCCCCGGCCTGCTGGTCCCGGGGATTCACCGCCCCTCGTTCCGGGTGGGACGGTGCTGCTCCACACGGGCCCTCCGAGGGGGGAGACTCGCCATACGGGAGAATCGCATCCACAAAGGCGTAATAAAGAGCGGCCGTCAACCGCCAATCTAACGCGTGGATCATTTTTAGCGATCCGCGACCTCCACGTGGACGCCCCTACTGTCCCAACTGCCGACAGGCAGGGCGGGAGGCGAGGCGGCGCATGACGAGCCGAGCCAAGAAAAACGTTCCGCTCCTCACCGGGAGAGACTGTGAAGTGGGTCACGAGCGCCGCGCAGAGCGCAGGCGCGGCAGCCTCCGGCCACGCCTCCAGGCCCGGGCGCCTTCCCACCAGGCGCACTCCGATGACACCACCGTGGGGGCCGCAACAACGGCTTCCGTCGGAGAGCCGTCACTTCCGGGCAGTGAGGCGCGGCGGCCGCCATCTTGGGCGGCTGCAGGAGGCGGCGGCCGGGTGGGCGCGCGCGATCAGCGGCGACGCTGCGGCTCTCCCCCGCCGGCCATGGCCGGGCAGTTCGACGCGGAGGACCAGGCGAGCTGGTACTGGGGGCGGCTGAGCCGGGCGGAGGCAGTGGAGCTCCTGCAGGGGCAGCGCCACGGCACCTTCCTGGTGCGGGACTCGGGCAGCATCCTGGGCGACTTCGTCCTCTCCGTCTCCGAGAGCTCGCGCGTCTCGCACTACATCGTCAACAGCCAGGGCGGGGGCGGGGCGGGGGCGGCCCCCTCGGCGCCCGGTGAGTTCCCCTCCCCCCCTTTTTCCGGCCTCCGCCGCCCGGCCCCAGCCGAGGGAGCAGCTGGGAGATCTCTCCTTCGCCCGGGTGTCCTGGGGATGCGGCTGAGCGGAGCGTCCTGGCTGCAACTCTGGTGGAATCGCTTTTGGACTTACCCATTCCTAAAATCCCCTCCTGGTCTCCCATCCACGCACTAAGCAGGGCCGGCTGCTTTTGTTGTTTGAGATGAGCCGGTGTCGCCTATGTTGCCGCCGCTCCTTCCGTGTACTTGAATAAAATGCTCTTTAGCAGTCAGAATTTGGGTCTTCTGTTTGTAAAAGCCCTTTTAGGCAACTGAAGACCCAGTTGGTTGCCTGTCCTCTGGGCTGAATGGTGAGGATTAGGACTCTTCCTATGGTGGCTCTAGAGCCCTGTGATTCCTCAAGGCAGGCCCCTTCTTTCTTAAAAAGGGCAGGTCAAGTCATGTGTAATTACATTTAGGTTTGCAGTTGTTCCCTTTAGTTAAGGGGGCTGATAACTTTTGAGTTTTGTGTTGCCTCTGAAGAGCTACTTTGCTGCTTACAAAGTGGATTTGTGCATAAGTTAAGTGCTAAATGTACAGACTCAATGGTACCGTAAAGTAACCATTGTAATGGTTACATTACAATGTAAAGTAATTAAAAGTAATGGATATTATGTAATGGATATTATTTATAAATAATAAAGTAATGTATATTATTTATTTAGTTTTTCATTTTTAAGAAACAAAATGGGTTATTGGTTGAATGCTATTCTTGGTGTTGCCTGTTTTATTTCATTATTTACTTTTTTTGTTTCCCCACTTGCAGGGTTGTCGCCTTCTAAGTTTCGGATAGGTGATCAAGAGTTTGATTCGTTACCAGCTTTGTTGGAGTTCTACAAAATACACTACTTGGACACTACAACATTGATAGAGCCTGTTTCAAAATCAAAGCATAACAATGATGCGCAGCTCAGGCAGGAAGAAGTTGAATACGTACGTGCTCTTTTTGACTTTAGTGGCAATGATGAGGAAGATCTCCCATTTAAGAAAGGAGACATACTGAGGATCTGGGAAAAGCCCGAAGAGCAGTGGTGGAATGCAGAGGACGGCGGTGGCAGGCGAGGCATGATACCGGTTCCTTATGTCGAGAAGTATAAGCCTGCCTCTGCTGCAGTCTCCGCTCCGATTGGAAGTAACCAGGATAGTACCGTCCCACAAGCATTGGGTGGACCAGAACCAGGTCCCTATGCCCAGCCTAGCATCAATACGCCACTCCCCAACCTTCAGAATGGGCCAATACTTGCCCGGGTCATCCAGAAGCGGGTCCCTAATGCTTATGACAAGACAGCCTTGGCCTTGGAGGTATGTAGTGGCGCATTGCAGAGAGAATTCTCACTCAGATTCTTCTGTTTTGAAAAGAACGGGGGAACCCAGCGAGCAGCAAGGTTTCCAAGCCACTGATGCTGATGTTCCCCACAAATGTAGCATGCAGAAAGACTAGCATGATCATCGTGAAATGGATAGTATTTCTGTGTTGTGAGTGCTGTGTGTGTGTGTGTGTTTGTCTGTTCTGTGAGAAGCCCACCGATTACTTAAGTTCTGTCTAAAGCATGTTTCAGAGGAAAAGTTACTATAGTGAAAAAAATCTAGTTTGGCCTTTCATGCCCAAGGTCATGGGTTATACTGCTTAGAGGTTTGATACACATTAACTATTTTCTGGGGTGTCAGCTAAATGTATCCCAGCTTGATTTCTTCTAAAGCAACAGGATAAGGCAGGAAATGGCACTGGAAAAGGGTTGGGGTGCTACTTCACTTGCGAACTGATAGCAGAAGGTCCTGCCTTAATGGAAGTGTATTTGTATCACTGCAGGTAGTCCATAACTTACAACCACAATTGAGCCCAGAATTTATGTTGTTAAGTGAGAAATTTGTTGAGTTTTGCCCCATTTTATGACTCTTCTTGCCACATTTGTTAAATTAATCACTACAGTCATTATTTTTTATTTATTTATTTATTTGATTTTTATACCACCCTTCTCCAACAGGACTCAGCCAAGATAAAACATGGCATATAAAATTTAAAAACAGTTTAAAAGATATTAAATAATTTCAGCCCACAATTTAAAATAACTCAGTTAAAACCAATTTCAAATTAAAACCGAAAGGATGGGATCAAGCCAGCCCGGCTAGATGAAATAAATGAGTTTTCAGGGCCGGACGAAAAGTCCGGAGGTCTGGTATTGTGCGTATCTCTGGGGGTAGGTTGTTCCAGAGGGCAGGTGCCGCCACAGAGAAAGCTCTCCCCCTGGGGCTCGCCAGCCAACATTGTCTGGCCGACGGCACCATAAGGAGGCCCTCTCTGTGCGAGTGTACTGGCCGGTGGGAGGCTATTGGCGGCAGAAGGCGGTCTCGATACCCTGGCCCTAAGCCATGGAGCGCTTTAAAGGTGGTCACCAACACCTTGAAGCGCACTCGGAAGACCACTGGGAGCCAGTGCAGCTCGCGCGGGAGAGGTGTCACATGGGAGCGCCCTGTTGCTCCCATAATCCCCTGCGCAGCCGCATTCTGGACCAGCTAGACCATTAAATTAGTAACATGGTTGTTAAATGAATCTTGTTTCCCCATTGACTTTGCTTGTCAGAAAGTCACAAAAGAGGATCACATAACTCCGAGACACTGCAACCCGCATAAATGTGAGTTGTGAAGCATCCAAATGTAAATCACATGACTATGTGGATGCTACAAGTCATAAATGGGAAAAATGGTCATAAGTCACTTTTTTCAGTGCCATTGTAACTTCAAACGGTCACTAAACAAACTGTTGTAAGTGAAGGACTACCTCTAGTTATGTCTCCTTAGCCAGATTGTGATGCTTGAATTGCTTCCATACTTACATGGAACACTGTGACTGCCTATTACCGGTAGTAGCTCAGTGTATAGACTGGCTCTTTGGTGCCTTTGCCTTGCCTTGGGAGGAATCCCACAATGGGCTTTGAGGAACACTAATTGTGGCAATCTTGGCTTATATATTTAAAGGGTAACACACCCTTGTTCCCAAGACATTACTTTGTTCTCAAACTGGAATTGTTCTGTAATTGTTTCCGAAGTCATTACTGTTAGGCAGAACTGCCAGAATGATGAGGCATGACAACAGAGCTCTGACTTTTCAACATGGCAGGATTGGAGATGTCACTTCAGAGATAAGAAAATAATACATGTATACAAAATGATTGTGCAAAATTCTAGTCATTCTTAACCTTTGGTACAGGTTGGATTTGATTCAGATCAAGTTGATTTAAATCATGATTTAAATCACTAGTAAAAAAGGCTTGATTTAAATCAAGTTTAATAACCCTAACTGTCATCTCTGTCCCGCAGCAGCTCCTTCTCTGACCCGCTGTTGACTCACCGACAGTCCCAATATTGCAGAATATACAGCCTCATGCTACATAACTAAACTCCATTTCATGCTGAATAAATCTTAAATAGAAAACTCTCTTTAGATAGATTTTTACTCCAAAAGCATTTTATTAAAATAAATTTGATAAAAATTAAAAAAATCAATTTAAATTAAAAACAGTGTTTTTTTTTTAATTTTTTTTTTTTTTAATCATCGATTTTTATCCACCCTGCTTTGGTGTTTGAGTTCCTTTCTATAGGTGTTTGGGTGAGTTAGATCATAATTTGTGCTGAAAGTTCATTGAGTAGCAAAGGCAAATTATCTGTTTCAGCTCTTTGCTTTCTGGAATAAAAGGAACTTTACTGCACAGCCCTGCCGCCCTTTGGAACAAAACCTGAGATTCAAATAGCATGCCGTATATTCCCTTGGTGAAAAAGGAGAAAAGCTGTAGTTCTTGCTGTCAAAGGACCAGGCTAGGAGCAGCTGCTACCACCGGTTCCTTGTTTAACCATATGCTTTCCACTGAACATGTTACTGTTAGCCAGGGGTTTTTCCCAGAATATGCCTGTTTGGATACCTGCCCAAGAAATTGAAGAGTCATTCACCGAGTTGACAGTGGTGTGTTTATTGGTTTGCAGGTTGGTGAACTAGTCAAGGTCACCAAGATTAACATGAGTGGCCAGTGGGAAGGAGAATGCAATGGCAGGCGGGGCCATTTCCCATTCACACATGTCCGGATGCTGGATCAACAAAATCCTGAAGAGGACTTCAGCTGAAAAGGACCCCACTGTTCTGCTTACGGATGGGAGCAAGCACATGGAATTTCGTTGCTGCAGCAATGGAGACTGTTTCTTGAGAAGTCAAAGTAGGGTTGTTTCTGCCAGCATTCTGGTATTGAAGATGAACTGTCCCTGGGACACAATACTCATGAGGTGCTTGTGTTTTCAGGGCACGGCTTCTGTGCCAAGAGTTAGGTCAAAGACATTACATTCCCCCCCCCGCCCCCCCGGAGTAGGACGAGAATGCTACCCAGGTCTGTGGAGCTCAGGCTTTGTCAGTTGCATGGCTTTCTCTGTAGGTAATAACCCGAGTGGCTTGGTAGGACACTCACGGCTTGCTAGCCTAAATATTCCTCTCTTTGGATCTGATATATATTGTAATTTCTGTCTCATAACTGCTTGTTGCAAAATGAGTACACTATGCATCGCCCTGGTCTATTTTCTAAGTGTATTTTGATACTGGGATAGCTGGAGCTTAATGATTATATTTTGGATGGTTAGGGCGAAGTTTGCTCATTATTGTGAGTTCCAAAAATTTGTCTTTAGTACAGACATAGCAAGTAGCTGACTTAATTTCAGAGGTAGATGTTAATGGATATTAACTATTGGTGGAATGTTAAGCTTCCCTTAAAGTGCAGAGAACTGTGTTCATTGTACTTTTTTAATTGCCGACTTATCTGAGCACTACACTCCAAAGCATTAGCCAGTTATAGAGATGAGTGCCTGAAAATTTCCTTTTAGTACTTTCTACTTACTCCATATAGCAAGGCAAATATTGCCATGATAAATGAAAATGCCAAATACTTTCTTCAATAAATGGTTCCTTTCAAACTATGGTTCCATCTGCAAAGCAGTCTGATGGTGGTTTCATGAAGAACTTATTTTTAATAAACTAATAAAAATACTAAAATGCTTTTGGATTGATTCTAAAACCTGAATAGTTTACACACACAATATCTTTCCACTACTCATGACTTGAACAAATCAATTTTTCTACTAACATTTCCCAGACTGCTTGTTGCCAAGTTTTTTTTTGATTTAATATTGCTAGAAAAATAACCTTGAACCAACAAGATTTCCTTTGCTTATCAAAATGTGCCTGCCCTGATATTCTTCCCAAGAATGAACTGCAGGTGTGTAATATGCCATCTCATATTCCATTAATAAAGGAGGGAAACGCCCTTTAGTGCTTATGCAATAGTGCCATTCTGTTCTTGCTTTAAGAATATTGAAATGACTGGATCCCCTTGTCTGTCAAGGAAGTCCCATGCATCCCTCCCACTCCCAAATAATCAATTAGAATATGAACAGAGCAGTGCACAGGTCAATCCTTATATTTACAGTTGCATTACCCATAAAAGGCTGGGCCTAAGTGTATTTTGCAGGGGAGTGGGCTGTGGATCACCTTAGTTAAGTCAACTTTTCAACGTAATGGGAGATTGTAGATCCCAATTTCTATGGATCCACAGATGGGAATGGTCTATTCCCTAGTAAAATGGTTATATCCATTGGTGACACTATGCAAAGCACTGCTGCCCAGTGGGTCACCGAGGCTGGGAGACTAGATTTGTTCTGAAAACCGAGTGCTTGGCACAAAGCCTCAACTACACTTCTCAAGGTCTTAGGAAAGGCAGCAGTGCCACCAGTTGCCTTTTTTTACTTTTATGGCTTGCTGTGGGAATTTATTTTATGGGAAGTTCAGTAGAGATTGTAAGATTTGTTTCCCTGAAAATGATTTTTCCGAAACAGATCCTAAAGTATTCTTGGAAACCACAGAATTTCTCCAATTGAGGTTGGTTGATTTTCTGTACTCTCGCAGGAAGTACCTCTTAAAGAGATATACAGGAGTTTTATTTAACAGGATACGCTGCATTTAAGTAGAAACATAGTTTATTATAATACATTTCTGCTTAGGCTCTGCCAAGTTGGCAGCATTAGAAACACGAGGGCAATGTTTTTATTGTAAGTAATGTTGGAAATTCGGTGACCAATTCTGCAATGTTGATCCTTCAGAATTCCTGGAATGATACATAGACCCTGTGCTTTGTTGAATTTTGACCAGCTATTGTGATTTATAAACCATATTGCCTGTATATTATAAAACTAATCAATTTTGTTTTATTCATTAAACCATGACAGTATAGTATGTAAAACTATTCAATGTTCATGTATTATGCTTTGCTTTTGGTTTAATGTGTGAATTGTCCCAATGAAGTTCAGCAAATTCAGCAAATCAACTAGAGAAGAGCAAACGTATTGCAATATTCATATTTCAACCACTTTATTTCAGTTTTCAAAGTATGGTTGCAATATTATCACCCTTTCCTTTCATCTGGTATCAGAGGCATTTCATGATTTGCTTCTTACTCGAATGAAGCAACTGCTTTGCTTGAAGGCCTCCTAGACAGTCCATTTTGGGTAGTTAACTTTCCCCTGAATTGGAGTGACCTGCTATAAGAGCACCACTGGTCACTATTTTCATTTTGAGATGCATTTTTGCATAGTATTACACTACTCAGTTTAAATGGGATGTTTTTTTCTAGCTAGTATTTTAGTCAAACCCAGCATTTCATAATAAAACCTGATGTGATCAAAGCTTGTTAATCTATTATAACTGCAAGTATTTTAATCATTTTAATAACATGCAGGCAGAGTGAAAAATGCTATACACAAAACTAAAGCAAAAGCATATATAAAATGTGCCCTGTATTATATAACACTACACACTTTCTTGGCAGTTATTTTTTGTAGCCTGTAATCAACATGTGTATAATATGTGGCGTAAATAAAAATTGCAAAAGTGGAATTTGTGATTCATTGCCTTAACAATGTTAGTAAATGGATAGGCAGTGGGTGGGCTGATTCTAAAGATGCACCATATTGTTCAAAGAAACATTTTTTAAATTCTTTTGTTTTTAGAATAGTGACAAAAAGAAATAAAAGAACAAAACAAAGAAAAATACATACACCATCAAAGAAAAATGCTTTTTAAAAAAGTGAAATACAATAAAAATATTTTAATAGTAAATACTGACAATTCTATATAACTAATGCAATTATAAATTTGAGTGATAGTAAATCACTCAATAGATCAATTGCTGCAGAACAAGAAAGATTTAGTCAATTGATACAAGAAGCCCTGCCAGCTAAATCCATAGTAAAAGCCTTTAGAAGCTGGATCAAGCTAAACATAGCTGGGAAATCCTTTGTTATGACTGACGCTATAAAGGACATGCCACATGATTATTAACAAAGTTGTACCTTGTCAGACAAAAGATGTACATGATAAATTTGGGCCAGCAACTGTCATGCTGATCCTAGCTCTTCTTAAATAGAATAGAATGATCAGAGTTGGAAGGGACCTTGGAGATCTTCTAGTCCAACCCCTGCTCAGGCAGGAAACTATACTATTTCAGACAAATGGTTGTCCAATCTCTTCTTGAAAACTTCCATTGTTGGAGCATTCAAAACTTGTGGAGGGAAGCCGTTCCATTGGTTAATTGTTCTCAATTAAGTTAATTAATTTAACTTAATTTAACTTAATTTGAAGATTTTAAAGGTAAGGTGGATTACAATTAACAAGAAACATCTTGGAAACTTCTTTTCTGATTTTGTGGATTAAAGGCATTTAGGGAAACTTGGTGAGTCAATTTGGAATACTAAAAAGAAAGAAGAAAAATTGAATAAGACTTAAAATTTGGGAAAATCAGAGGGTACAAATTGGATAATTTTAAAGACTATAAATTTAGGGCAGTTTGAGGAACAGTTCCAGGACCGTGTAAATTTTATTTTTATTTTTTTTATTGAAAAGTTTTATAATTTATTTATTTATTTATGAATTTCTATACCGCCCTTCTCCCTGAGGACTCAGGGCGGTGTACAGCCAGAATTAAAAAACATGCAGAACAAATATTAAAAAACAATTAAAAGATATATAAATTTGGCCCAATTAAAACTCACTACCAATTAAAACATTTAAAACATTTAAAAACATTTAAAAATTTCTTCTTAAGCCAGCCCGGCTTGCTTGAAAAAATGGGTTTTAAGGGCACGACGGAAGGCAGTGAGGTCCTGGATTCTTATCTCTGGGGGGAGCTGATTCCAGAGGGTAGGTGCCCCCACAGAGAAGGCCCTCCCCCTGGGGGTCACCAGCCTACACTGTTTGGCTGATGGCACCCCGAGGCCCTCTCTGTGGGAGCGCACGGGTCAATGGGAGGTCGTCGGTAGCAACAGGCGGTCTCGAAGATAGCTAGGCCCTATGCCATGGAGCGCTTTGAAGGTGATAACCAGCACCTTGAAGCGCACCCAGAAGACCACCGGGAGCCAGTGCAGCTCGCGCAGGAGCGGTGTTACATGGGAGCGCCATGCTGCTCCCGTCACTACCCGCGCTGCTGCATTCTGGACCAGCTGGAGCCTCCGGGTGCTCCTCAAGGGGAGCCCCATGTAGAGAGCGTTGCAGTAGTCAAGGCGAGAGGTGACGAGGGCGTGAGTGACTGTGCACAGGGAATCCCGATCAAGAAAGGGCTGCAACTGGCGAATCAAGCGAACCTGACAAAAGGTCCCCTTGGTTACAGCCGTCAGATGTTCCTTCAAGGACAGCTGCATATCCAGGACTCCCAGATTGAGAGCCCTCTCTGTGGGGGCCAACGACTCGCCCCCAATAGTCAGTGATGGAGTCAACTGACTATATCGGGATGCCGGGAGCCACAGCCACTCAGTCTTGGAAGGGTTGAGCCTGAGCCTGTTCCTCCCCATCCAGACCCGCACAGCCTCCAGGCACTGGGACATCACTTCAAGGGCATCGTTGGGGTGGCCTGGGGTGGAGATGTACAGCTGGGTGTCATCAGCGTACTGGTGGTATCTCACCCCGAAGCCACGGATGATCTCACCCAGCGGCTTCACATAAATGTTGAACAGAAGGGGCGAGAGGACCAATCCCTGTGGCACTCCACAAATGAGAGGCCTCGAGGTCGACCTCTGCCCCCCTGCCAACACAAACTGCGACCGGTCGGAGAGAAAGGAAGAGAACCTCCGTAACACGGTGCCTCCCACCCCCAACTCTTCCAGCCGGTGCAGCATGATACCATGGTTGATGGTATCAAAAGCCGCTGAGAGGTCTTAACAGGACCAGAACAGAGGAGCAACCCCTGTCCCGAGCCCTCCAGAGATCATCAACCAACGCGACCAATGCCGTTTCCGTGCTGTGCCCAGACCTGAAACCCGACTGGAACGGATCTAGATAAGATGTTTCCTCCAGGAATTGCGGAAACTGTTGCACGACCACACTCTCCACAACCTTCGCCATAAAGCGAAGGTTGGAGACAGGACGATAGTTGGCCAATATTGCCGGATCCAGGGATGGCTTCTTGAGGAGAGGCCTCACCACCGCCTCTTTCAAGGCGGTGGGGAAGTAACCCTCACTCAACGAAGCATTGATAACACCCTGGAGCCAGCCTCGTGTAACCTCCCGGGAAGCCAGTACCAACCAGGAGGGACACGGGTCCAGTAAACATGTGGCCGCACTAAGTCTCCCCAAAATCCTGTCCACATCATCAGGAGTCACAGCATCAAACTCCTCCCAGATAACATTCTCAAGACTATTCCTCGTCACCCTGCCCTGATCTACCTAGTCAGAGTCCAAATCCCCCCGGATCTGAGCGATTTTGTCATACAGGTATTGTCCGAAATCCTCCGCCCTGCCTTCCAAGGGATCCTCCCGCACTCCCGGATGGAGCAGGGAGCGGGTTACCCTGAACAGGGTAACCGGACGATTCCCTGATGACGCAATAGAGGCGGAAAAGTAATTAAACTTTGCCGTCTTTATCGCCACTAGACAGGCCTTAATATGCGACCTTACCCGTGTTCGATCAGATTCAGCGAGACTGGCCCTCCAACCGCTCTCCAGGCGTCTTTTCCGGCGCTTCATTTCCCTCAGCTCCTCACTGAACCAAGGAGCCGCACGGGATCGGCACCGGGTCAGAGGCCGCAAAGGCACGACTCGGTCCAAGGCCCCACCAGCCGCCCGGTCCCAGGTGGCTACCAGCTCCTCGGCCGAGTCATGTGCTAGAACCTCAGGAAATGGCCCAAGCTCCGTCTGGAACCTCTCAGGATCCATCAGGCGCCTGGGGCGGATCCATCTAATTGGATCCGCCTCCGTGCGACGGGGGGCAGCGGTTCGAAGATCCAGGCGAAGGAGTGAGTGGTCTGTCCATGACAAGGGTTCCACGTCTATATCCCCAATAACAAGACCACTCAACCACTGGCCAGAGACAAAAATCAGATCCAGAGTGTGACCTCCCCTGTGAGTAGGGCCATGAACTAACTGGGTCAGGTCCATGGCCGTCATGGAAGCCATGAACTCCCGAGCCACCTCAGACGTTTCACCAACGGATGGCAAGTTGAAATCACCCATGACTAAAAGCCTGGGTGTCTCTACTGCCACCGTGGCTATCACGTTGAGTAGCTCAGGTAGGGCTGTTGCCACATGGCAGGGAGCCAGGTACGTAAGCAACAAACCCATCTGAACCCCACGACCCCACCTCACAAGGAGGGACTCACATCCGGCTATCTGAGGCACAGTGGTCTCCCTAGGACCCAGATCCTCGTTAATAATAACCGCCACCGCCCCGCCCCTCCCCTGGGCCCTCGGCTGATGGAATGCTCTGAAGCCTGGTGGGCACATTTCAACCAGAGGGACACCGCCCTCCGGGCCCAACCAGAAATAAGAAATACAAACAATTTTCTCCCCCCACCCTTTCCCCCTTCCCACATAATAAAAAATATACATTTTCTTATACATAATAAATCCTACATATACATGTTTCCCTTGAAGAAAGCATTAAAATAAAACATTTTAATTACATTCAGAGTTGCTCTTCTTCTCTTTCTTCTCTCATTCCACAACAAACCTTCTTCTTCTCCTTTCTTTCCCTTCCCTCCCTCTTCTCTCCTACTTTCTCCTACCTCCTCTCCTACCTCATCCTACTTCCTTTTCCTTTCCCCCACTTCTCTCTTCTTTTCCCCCTTCTCACCTTCACTCCTACTCCTGTACCCTTCCCTTCCTGCTCTCCTTTCTTCCATTCCTCTCCCTCCCTCTCCTCTTCCTACCCTCTCCTCTCTTTCTAATTTCTTTGCTGTGAAATATTCTCCTCCTTTAGTATCTGAGCAACTCCTGAATTCTAATCGTAGATATTTTCTTCTGTTAAAACATTTCTCTATTCACCACTTTTTTCCCTTCCCAACCCTTATCCCACCCTCCCCACCCACCCCCGACTTCCCAGAGCAAAAACAGGGTATAGCATCTAACAAACATATGCTAAAATAAACTAAGTAATTATAGAGTTCAAAACTCCCACGCGTTCTTTAACTCCTCTTGCTCCAATTCATCAACCTCCCTTTTATAAATTCTCACAACCAATTAAGTTAAATTCTTCCTGATTATAAAAAAAAAAATTTCTTGATGAATAATCCAATAGTTTAACAGTATTACAAACAGTAAAAATCATGAATAAATACCATTTCCATACCCTCAAACATCATTCTTTTTGAACATTACTCCCTAATGAAATTCTGAATTTAACATTAATCCTCTTTCCTTCAGAAAAATTGGGCATCTTGAAATCTTACACATTTTATCTCATATATCTTTTAAAATAATATAATCTTATGTTAAACATTCTAAAAATCTCTTAATACTATTAAAACACTTATTCACCAAATATAAATTTCAAAATCTACAGGAGGATATCTTTCAAATTTTCAAATAACCATTTTAATACCTCTAACTTTAAAAAAAAAAAACAGCCC